AGTTTGGAAATGTCTTTCAGTGGAATTGAACTGTCTGGAATTGGATAGTAGGATGTTGGGTGAGTGAAATGATAGGCTGCCCAGCTTGTGATCCTTTTGATGCTTTCGTAAACAGTGTTTCCCAGATTACGGGAGTAGTTAAGAGATGTGGGGCATTGATCCTTAAAATGACCAACAGCGTGCAGATTTTCCACTTGGGTTGTCAGACAAACATGAAGATCAATGTGGATGTCTTTGTTGGTAGACTTCAATTTCTCATCCAGCCGATTAAGTTGATTGTTGATCATTTGTACGGACTTAAGGGTTAGGGTTAGGATTGGAAGTTCGAGGTCCCATTGATCTTGCGTGTTGATGGAGAACGTTTTTGGTTGATTTATGCCATCCTTCACAAGTCTGCAGATCCTGACATCCAAGCTTTCATCGAGGCCACGTTTTACGCACTCTTCTTTGATTCCGCAAAAACTAGTCACATATCTTAAGAAGACACTTAAATTTTGTGCGAATCTCTTATGCCAACTCTGACACGCTCCTTGGATCCAGCAAATTTTGAAGTGCCTGATTCTGGCTCAGCATGGTAAATAACTGATTCAACAACCGCGAGGACTTTGTCGGATTCAGCAGCCATGGTCTTTACCAGTCTGAGTTACAACGAGTCCGCACTTGTCGTTCATCAATGGCTCATCAGTCAAAAATCCTATTGAGACGGGTTCATTGGTTAATACGGTGATCTGGAAATCAACGGGTTTATTTAAACCTGTCAACATGTTTCGTTTGTCGCTACTCTCAGTCGGCTTGAATCGAGCGTTAAATTCACTAAGGTCACAGAAAAAAATGTGATCACAATGCAGTGAAATTCAGCTACGAACTCAACTTTAGATATTCACGATTTATTTCTTATCTATTCACGATTCACAACCAAGAACTTTTGCATTTCACGCCTCACGGAATACACTTCAATCACAATTCACGGAACAGTTTTTTTTTTTACCAAATCACGATTCACAGAGCACAAAAAAACCGGATCACGGTGTCACGAAAATACCCTTGCCCCCCCTCATGTAGTTCAGCAGTTTCAAACAGGTACCACATTTTTAAAACGTGCCTTCAAAGTAGAGCTATTTTCGCGTTTGGTTCAAAACTCGATTTAACGGGTAGAAAATCTTCTTTTAACCGTTGAAG